GACTTTCACGTAGAAGGTTACAATCTGACGACCTTCACAACAACTAATGAAGGCCCCAATTCAACAGCATTCACAATCAACATCGGGAGTTACAATCTGACGACTCTCGTATTTTCAAGGAGCCAAGACGAAGATTACAAGAGGACGATCTGTGCAAAGCTCTAGCAAAAGAGATTACAAGTTGACGGTCTCTTCATATTAGAACGCAGATATCTCTCAAACCGTAAGGAATTTGGCGAAACGGAGGAAGCGAACCGAAGCCTTCGGCTTGGTTCGGATGGCCCCGTCTCGTCAAGATAGCCGATTTTCAATTCCGACGTACGGTTTAAAAGTTATGACCTGTTCTTCGTAACAAGTTATGTTCTGAAGTCCGTCTGCAAGACTGGACTTCATCAGAACATTGGACTTAGCCTGTAAAACAGCACAACTGTGCGTTTTCAGCCTAAAACAGGCTTAACTCTGCGTTTTCCAGCAGACATCTAACTATGTGACGCAGAGTTAAAGCACAAACGCACACATAACGTGCGTTCTTCAACAAACTCAACCGTGCATCCCAAACTCATGATGCAGAGTTGAATTACAACGCACAAGCTACCTGTGCGTCTCCAATTCCAGAACGCATGCGGCCTTTGCATTTCAAACCTTTGACAAAGGTTTAACTCTGCGTCTCAGGCCTTAGACGCAGAGTTAAGGCCCAGAACGCCGTTTTTAGCGTTTGACTCGTTCAAGCACGCAATGAACAGTTCCAGGAACTGTTTTTCCCCACGATTTGAGGGATTTTCGCCCCACTTAAGAGCGGATTAAGGGGGTAGTTACCACCCTAAATCCCCTATAAATAGTGGGAAACTCAACTGAGTTCAGGCCTTCTTTTTTAGGCAGCAAAGAAGCGATCTGCAGCTAGCTTGGGAATCGAATTTTTTCTCATCAACAAAAGGGAGATTCGATCAAAAGGCTGGCATATTTTGGATCTGGGATTTGGCAGCAACAGAGAGCTTGGGAGATCAGCGACTTGAAGGAGCTCTTGAATCATTTTGGAAGGCTTTTAATTGAAGCCTTTGAAAGTATTCGACCTTGGCTTATAACCGACTTTCGGTTCAAATCAACTCCTTTTCAAGAGTTTAAACTCGTCCAGAGTTATCAACTCGATCAGAGTCCAAAACTTGCTCTGCAAGTTCTTCTAAAACTCGATCAGAGTTCAAAACTTGCTCTGCAAGTTCTTCTAAAACTCGATCAGAGTTCACATCAACTCGTTAAGAGTTATTTTCAAACTTGCCATGCAAGTTCTCCACAGCGTCAAATCGTGAGGAGATTCAATTGTTCCAGTGAAGTAGGACGGTCGGATCGTCAACGGAGAGCAAGTTCGACGCGATCAATCGAAGGAGGCACTCCACCGCTACCAAGAAGAACCCAGTTTTAAACAAAGGGGAGATTCAAATTCATTCTCCTCTCTTTTGTAATCGGAATCCAAATTGTAATCGATTTTGAGAGGAATACAAGTCAAATTTTTCTTTTATTGTCTTTTTACTGCAAATTTCCAACGAACAGGTACGTACAACAAGGCAACGAGTTCGATTCTCATCCAAAACTCAACCAAAGAAGTTTGATTCACATTCAAGAACAAAATAAAGCAAATAAGTACAGCTCTCAACCAAACCAAGCACCTCATATACATGCAACCAAGTCAAAGGGTTTGATTATCATTCAAGATCAAGAAGGAAACTTCAGTTATTATTCAAAATCCCCAAAACTAATTAACAAGAGTTCGGCACTTATACAAGATCGAAGCCAAATTCAAACCTAAGTTTCAAGTTTTTCCCAGACCCGAAAATAACACATTAAGGTTCGAGAGTTAATCATGAATTGGAGTAGGCAATCAAAACCAAAAGCACAATTATCATCCAAAGAGATTTCGTCCAAGATCAAAGTTCGGACATGCCCCCAAAATTGAAAATCAAACATCAAGAACTCAAAGGAGTTAACCACAAATTCGAGATCTTATGAGAGGACTTTAACTGAAATCAAAGAGAGAGAGGATTAATGGAGAAGAAGAACCCAAGTCTTGAACTCAAGAACCCACCAAACAACCCTAGATCTTGAAGAGGAGATTTGACCAAAGCTAGGGTTTTGAGATGAAGTTTGGGAAGAAAGGGATCAAGAGCTCTTGAAGAGAGGGAAACCCAAGCTTGGAGGAGTTTGGAATCTTTTATCAATATCTTAGAAGAATATAGGTGTTGATAAAAGAGAAAGAAGAAGAAAGAAGAAGAGAAGGAGAGAGAGAGAGAGAGAGAGAGAGAGAGAGAAATCGGGTTTGAGGGACTTAAAAGAACTCCCAGCCGAGCCCTCTTCTCTCTCTCGTGCGAGACACCTTTTGGTGTCTCGCCCGATTGAGGGACTTAAAAGAACTCCCAGCCGAGCCCTCTTCTCTCTCTCGTGCGAGACACCTTTTGGTGTCTCGCACGCGAGACACCTTTTGGTGTCTCGCACGCGAGACACGTACTGGTGTCTCACACGCGAGACACGTACTGGTGTCTCGCATGTGTGCGAGACACCAACATGTGTCTCGCACCCATGAAAGATCCGTGGGTGTTTTCACAGTATATTTTTGCCCATTTTCACCCAATTCGACGTGTTCGAGATACATATTCACACTCCGATGAGTACACAACTATAAACAATATCTCCTTGAACCTCCGATGGATATATGAGGTTAAACTAATTCCCAAAACTCCGATGAGTATACGAGTATAAACTGATTCTCCGAGCACAAATTATATAGACTCTAGTTAACGCACAAGTATAAACTGTATTCACGCGTCACAATGAAGGTCAATGCCGGTCAATGCGTCAACAAAATTTGCCAAAATAAGGCTCAGGATCAAATTCCAAGTCAAAATTATCTCCGGGAGTTCAATCGAGATTTAGATACAAGCTCTCAACGAACATAACCGGTTCAATGTCGATTCAATGATGCAAGCTAAATCAGGTATCAATGCACCAGTTTTAGTTCAAGATTTCGATAATGGTCAGACGATAAACGTAGCACCGGAAGACTATTCGACAAAATACTAAATAGACTGAAAGCTGAAGAAGTTAAGAATTGAAGATAAAGCCTATCTGATCCAAAGTATTCCATACTTCTCGATAAAAGACTGAGGAGAAGGAAAACTTTGAAGGGGATATCTGTAGGCGTTAAAAATTATCTGTAAGCTCCCACACACAACTCAAGACGAAAAAGACGAAAAATATCGTTATCTAAGTCAAAGAAGATCATTCGATGTAAAAAAGAAGCAATGTAATGCGAAAATTAACAAAACGACAAAATGAGACAGCCATAAGGTGTCTCACTTGTGAAATACAATAATGAGTCTTACTTGCGAGACACAATAACGTGTCTCGCAAGTGAGACACCAAAATGTGTCTCGCACACATGTGCGAGATACAAAGTGTGTCTCGCACCCAAGTGCGAGACACAACAATGTGTCTCACACAGGGAGGGTGCCCCGATGTGTTTTCTGATGGATTTATCGGGATTCGTATGTTCCAGTGGCTTCCTAACTTCCTTGGGAGGTCCTTAAACGCGGGAAAATCATTATTAACTAAAGATATGATCAAATCACGAGATCTTATCCACAAGCACGATGTTTGAAGCCTGTAAATATCCCCCTTCATGCATTTGGGACGAGTGATCTGGAATTTTGGACTTGGAGGCAAATTACTGATGTTTTGAGGGCAGAACCCACAAATTTCAGAGAAAGAGAGGCGAGATCTTGGTGAATTCCTGCGCATAAAGAGAGGATTTCAAGAGATCTACAAGCTTTTCACCCATTCCCTTGAGATCAGACCTTTTTTGATATTAAGAAGAGTAGTAATCTCACTTTGTTGAGGTTATTCACTTTTGTTCTTGGTTTCCTCGATTGAAACAAAGAACATTGATCCTTCTTTCAGATCAACCCAGATCTGTTATTTGACGGTCTACGGATCAAAGCGTCCCCAGCACAGGCAAAGATCCCACGCAAGCAGCAACCGATAAACGATATCTGTGTGTGTTTCTAGGAAGTCTCGTGTGTATTTCTTTTGTGTAGAGAAGTCTTATAAGAATGCTAAATCTCGTGAATCTATTGTAATCGATAAATAGCTTGTAATGGATTCCAATAAGAAATTGATTTCCGACGCAAACAGTGATAGCAGCCTGAACTGCTTGTTTCCCATTGCTAACATATTGCTATTATGAAATAATTCAACACAGAAAAGTGTCAATGTTTTGATAAGTTGGTTTTGTGTTGGGCTTGGTTTTGGATTGGCCTTTGGTGGTGCACCCATTTAATCTATGGGGGCACCCTTGTGTTTATGACTAATCTATGGGTTCTTTTTAAGCTTGTGTGGGGCTCGTGCCCACGCCCCATTGTGTGTCCGTCCTAGGTTAGATGTGAAGGAAAAAATGTTAGCTATTAGATCATTATATATTGAAATTCGATCCGAGGGTTGATATTTTTTTGGCGCATGATCATTGCTATGGAGTGGGAACTCAAGGGTAGAGATCTGCGTTAACTTGTGGTGTGCTGATCGTTTCTTTGTTCATGACTTGACATGTGCGGTTGTCTATTATCAATATGTTTTCTTGTTCCTACTAGAAGTTTCATGCATCACACACTCCATTTGCTCATGCAACAACAAAAACACTATCAAGAGGGAAAAATTTTCTACTGCGAGTAAATTAATTTGGATAATATTTCTTAAAGAATTTTCAGTAAGGAGAAAGTTTTGTAGTTGCGACGAGCAACTTTTTAGTTATAATTTCAGATTGGGTATTGCTACAGGGACCCTAAAATAGAGCACCCCTGAGGGGACAAGTGATGTGTCAGCCCCTGGGGGCTTGATGCACTGTTCATGAATAGTGCATCAAGCCCCCAGGGACTGATACATCACCTGTCCCGTCAGGGTCCCCTATTTTGGGGTCCTGAGGAGTTTTCCTTTGGGATTCTATCCCGTGAGATTTGACATGCCGTCACGGACTGAACATCCTTTTCATCCAAATTTAATTTAATAGCTGCCGTCAAGGATGAGGACTTTAATTTCATACTCTTGCACAGCAGTTTTGGGTAAAACAACCTCTCAATGGTATTATTAGTCGGGCCCACCCGCATCACTAGTCCGGGTTTACCAGTAACAGTACTGGTTAAGCTTTTATTCACTTTCTCAAATATTATCCAACATATGCTCCACATTTAGGCGATCTTTTTTCGAAAAAGTACAGACCGGATTTCAACCGAAAGCTTTCACCGATGGGCGGTGCGAGTAAAATATTTGCGGGGCCAAAATTTGACCTCATCCTCCTCTCTAGAGTACTCTTGCTAGCTGACTCAGTTCTCTTCTTCTCTCTGATCTGTCCCTTGAATTCATCTCTCCACCGCACATCAATCTCAGGCACCTCTCGATTTGATATCCTCCTCCAAAGCTCACTTCTCGCTCCAAGTGCCTGCAGTAGCTCTCGAAAACACTCACGCTCACATGAAGCTTGAATCCCATCATGAAGAGAAAATTCACCTCCAAGCCGTTCAGCTCCGTCACGCTTAATCCCCCAACCTTTGCGAAGTAGGAGTTCCTGTAATTCCTGCACAAACAAAAAAGGAGGAGGGTTAGGTGCATGAAGTTTCAATTAAGTTCTTCCGTTTTTTTACCGATCCAAGGATAATTTTAACCGCTATCAACTCGATGAATAGAAAGGAGGAGGAGGGAAAAAAAAAAAAAAAACAAAAAGGCGCTAGCTGCGTACAAATCCTCTACGAACTTGGAGGCAACCATGATGGAGGTAACGAGAAGGCGGTGCACGTTGCCCAGCGTAATCCGTAGCCCACGGTTGAGCTGGCACAACCTGTCCATGTACACGTACGCAACCACGTACACGGGCGGCGCCACGCGGGCGTAACGGAATATCCTCTCCAGGAAGGACTGTATCGTCATGTCGAGGACCCTGTCGCTGTCGAACGCCCCACTCCTCGCGTCGTCCCTCGGGCCCTGCGCGTTGCCTTGCCTCGCGTTTCTCGCCATCGCTCGCTCCAACAACGACGCCAGGACCGATATCACTAGCGGGTCTCGGCTCCTCGCGCTCCGAAACCTAGAGATCTGGACCTCAATCTTTCTTCCGCGAAATTGGAGCTAAGAAGAAAATAGCCAGCCCGTAAATAGTATCAAACTTCTGATGGTATGTGATCAAGGATTGTTTGAATCGTGAGCGTGTGTATTATGTATATATTATATATATTATAAGAGGGGGGGGGGGGTGGGGGGAAGGTGGGGGATAATCGGTTGGTGAGGAGCTTAGTTGTCAATAGGAGCGAACGAAAGGGCGATGGACGCTACGGAAAAATAATGTTTAGGGCACACCCCTAAACACCACCAACCATACCCTCATCTCTATCTTAGCAGTAAACCGGTTCTACATGGGATTTTAAAAATTTTAAAATATCATGTGGGGTCCGATTTACTATAGCACTAGAAGAGGGGGGTGTGATTGATGGTGTGGTAGGGGTGTGCCCCTAACACCACTCGCTACGGAAAGAGGTGGGAAGAAAAGATAACATTAAATACTATATTTTACTGTCGGTTGGGACCAAAAGAGGACAAAAGTGGAGCTCTCAATCACTTCCCTTTTGGTGATCGTATTTTAATGTAGCTCAGTTTTGCTGCCGACGGTTCCGTTGAGGGTTTCTACCGCGGGGGGAGAGGTGGATTGTTGGGATCTCCGCGGTTAATGAAAACTAGGGAAGGTAGAACAGTAGGCGTACGGTTTGTAGATAAATATCAGGAAATCTCCTTAACTCAGATTATTTTGAACATATCCGTGTAAAGCCACTAAACTCAAGGGAGTTTTGTGATGGGGGTTTTACCGATAATTGTCCAAAATTAAGGGTGGCGTTATGATATTTAGCCGATATTTATAATCTGATTTATTTTTCTTATTTTTGATTCGATTATTTGACAAAAAGTGACCTATCAAGGACTGAGTAAATTCATTATTTATCCGATATTTATAATCTGATTTGTTTTTCTTATTTTTGATTCGTTTATTTGGCAAAAAGTGACCTATCAAAAACTTATTAGAATTGAGTACAGATGTTTGGTTAGCGGGCAGATTGTAACATGAATAGATTCTTGCGAAAGCAAAATAAGTTAGGAATGGGGATGCCACGTTCAAATTGAAGAGCATTTCATTGATAAGAGTTAAAACAACATTATAATGTAAGTGTATTTATCACTCCAATTACTTTAATCTAAATAAACTGAGTAAAATTTGGTCATTCTGATAAGTATATCATGAAGTTATTATCATAATTATTATTATTGAGGTAACACGAAGTCAATATATTATGATACTTTAGCAAATATTCAAAAAAACATATTATGATAGTTCAATAAAAAGATTATGGGAGGATGGAGTTAAAATAATGATCATGCACAAATATATAGTGTTACGTGACATTTTTAGGAACATAAAAATTTACCCTTTACTTTTAGGTCAATTGCGAATAAACCTCGCAGTATCATTGTTTTGAACTTACTACATTTTGATTTTGTTTTTTTAGATGGGCCATAAGCTATTTTAAACAAGAGAGGGATGTTATACCAAATTTGGTTAATTATGTGGATGAATATTCTCCTTTTTTTTCTGCTTGCTGTACTAATAAAGAAATAAGGGATGTTGGTTCGAAGAAGCCAGGATGGGCTATAAAATAGAAGTTGACTGACTGTGGCTTAGCTGGTTGCGAGTACTCCTCGTGAATTTAATTATGAATAAAGTATTCTTCGTACAAGTGGAATGGATTATGTGCAACCTTTTGAAGGATTAACAGCCTATGAAAGGGGCATGGAGATGACACTATACAAAATTGATGGATATCTGCAATTGGAGGCATATATTATTGAATGGTAAATCAAAGAAGTAATTTTGAAAATTATGAAGTAGAAAATAATAGAAGTAATTTTTTTATTTTACACATTTTTTGAAAAGTGATGTAAATAATACATCTTCTTTATTCACTTTTTAAATTAAGGTGTTAGGAGTATAAAGAGACAAGTCAATAAAACTATTTTTTTCAGATCCACGCATGTTTCTACTATTTGTGAAACTTAATTAATTGGAAAAAAATATTTAAAAAATAGGGATACTACATATATAAGTGTCACATCAAAATTGAAGAAACTATATGAACTAGGTTTTTAAAAGAAACAAGATAGATTTTTCTTAGTTAGAAGTAGCAAAAATAGTCTTCAATTCTTTTACTTTAGCTCCTTTATAGCTACCATTAGGGGTGTTAAACCGTATCAGTATCCGAGGAGTATGCGTTAGTATACAGATATGGTTATTCAAATCCATAAACGATAGGATATAGTTACAGAGATGGTTTTGTAGTGAAATATCTGGATTCATATCCGAAATATCCGGATACATATAAGTCATACTATTATGATAGTTTTAATCCTTAAATTATGTATTTGAAGTTAATTTTGATGATCAATTTACTTTTTAGATATAATGAACATATTAATGAACTCTTTTATATCATGTAAACTATAAATATTTTTCCAATATTATCTAGTTTTCTCATATCCATTTTGAATTTGCATGCACATCCGCTTATGTACAGCATGTATATCTATATCCATATCTAATTTTAGCATATATGGATATAAAAATTTTCTTATTAAGATATATCTATAACCTGAGATAAATAAACGGATATGAATATAATAAGTGTCATATCCGAGCCGTATCCGGACCAAATGCACTCCTAGCTACCATGCAAACAAACAATTCCCTACTACAGATACCTATAGAAGTTTTCCCATTGCCCCACAACGAAGGTAGCCGCATAGCATTTTGAAGTTCATTCCAACGGCGTAGCGTTTAATAGAGAAAAGTCTAGGTAGAATCGGAAATAGGTTTTCTACCAAGGTAGAATTGGAAAATAAAAAGTGATAGGTTCACTTCTCCCCCAAATCATAGTGATGTACTAATAAAATAAAAATCTGGTTGGTATTTATGCCACTTGGTAAATCTTAAGGCCTTTGATATTACATGACTAATAATCTTATTATAAATAAATAAATAAATAAATAATCTTTTTATTCACTGTTTCATCTCAATCCACTACCCTCCACATCTTGGAAATCTCTTTCTTTGTCTGTAGATTTTCTATAAATTGTTAATTTCGTTCTCTTTTTCCATAAAAACTTATCTGTCTTCACTCTTTCTCCAAAAATCTAATATACGTATAATAATACTAATTTAAATCCCGTGCATAAGACAGGTAACAACTAGTGACTAATAGACCGAGTCTCACAAGAACTCTATTTTGTGGTAGCTTATCTAGCATAAGAAAATGCTACTAAAAAATATCCTCATTGTAAAATTTCTCCACTGCATCAAAATCATGGAATTATGATTAAATCTAAGTATTTTAATTTTATAATCTAACACATGGTTTCTAAAACTTTTAGTGTGAATTAGACTAAAATTCCCAAGCTTTGCCCAGTATTATATCAAAATACCCAAAGTTAACGACCTTAAATTGTATTTAAATATTCAAAGTTTGGCCGATATAGCACCAAAATACCCAAAGTTCAAAACCCTCCAGGCTCCAGGTAAATACTCGATATTTCTAAAAGTGGCATTTTAATACCCATGCGATGTGAACGTGAGCATTTCACCCCCCATATTTTCAAGCTTATATCATTTTAAACCTTACTTTTGGTTCAATCTATTGTTAAACTGTTCAAAATGCTACTTCAAACGTACCTACCTTGAAATAGGATGTTCAACGTTTTAATAATAGATTTATCAAAAAGTAATGGTTAAAATATTCTAAAAATAGCATATGAGTATGTGAAATTTTGACTTAAAGCTCTCACGTTTGCATTAAAAAGTATTTTTTAGCAAATTTTGGATATTTAAGCATAGGGTTTAAGACTTTAGGTATTTTGGTGCAATATCGACCAAACTTTGGGCATTTAAGTGTGGGGTTTAAACTTTGGGTATTTTTTTTTAACAATTCTGGGGAAACTTTGGGTATTTAAGTTAATTCACTCGACTGTTTTTAGAACCATTTTAAACCATGTAGCTTCAACTTGAAACTAATGCTCTTAAAATAAAGGAATTATATATAACAATTATCAAATTTATCATTATTGAATCATCACAATCAACCGACAATTATCAAATGAGAGAATCCGGTGGGCTCCTAATCCTTGATATGGGATCCATTATGAAAATATTAAAGCGTCCACGTTTACTTGTCTGCAGATTAAACGAGGCTCGTGCGAGCAGGACAAAATAGTGACCGTACAGCCAAGGTGCACTTAATGATGGGCAGGTAGACCTACCGAATTTATTCAAATACATTACAAGGGGGGAAATCAACATCTTAAAGTAAGTAAAATAACCTATTAGTTTGCAATTGCATAACCACATAGAACAAGCAAAAAACTAAATTCACTGGAAAAAAAAAAAACTAAATTCACGCTATATATTATGGGTCACTGCCACCTTCATTACCTGTCATGGAGATCTGGTACTGAAAAAAATGCATATATCTTATGAAGGATTGAAGAACAGCTCAAGAAAAAGTCCAAGAAAACTACTAGGTAGCTTGCCGGTCGACTGCGAGTCAGCGGCGGTCGATCGAAAACGTGGACGGAGGGTAGCAAAGTGTTGGAGATGAGGCGGTCGACCGTCGCGGTCGACCGTGCCGACCCTGTAATGGATTTTGGTCTCGGGAATCGATTCGATCGACTGATCGACTGCAGTGGTCGACTGTGAGGATCCTGTAGTCGATTTTCTTCTCTGCCGGGGGTGTACGGTCGACCGTCGCGGTCGACCGCGTAGCGGTTTTAATTTGGGTTACAGGTTTTTGACCCGGTTCGTTTTTGAGTTGACATATAATCCTAATCCTGATTAATTAGGGTTAAGTAAGGACGTTTTGAGCAGTTTTTGAGGGAGGATTGTGTAGGCATATAAAATTGCTTATAGGTCCCTTGACACGGTTCAACACGAACTAATGAACCATCAGGCGACGTATCTAAGTACGAACGTCAGTCCACAACACCGAAGCCAAGTGACACGCAACGAAGCGGATTAACAAGGCTACGAAGCTGACAAA